GGTGGGTGGGCCAGGCCGGGCGAGGGCCCCAGGGGCCGACCGGTGGTGGGCGGGCCAGGCCGGACCAGGGCCTTGGGGGCCGACAAGTGGTTGGTGGGCCGGACAAGGGCCCCTAGGGCCGACCGGTAGTGGGTAGACCGGACCGGACGAGAGCCACGGGGGCCAACCGGTGGTGGGTGGGTCGGGCTGGGCGAGGGCCCAAGGGGCCGACAATGGTGGACCGGCTGGGCCGGACGAGTGCCCCGGGGTCCGACTGGTGGTGGATTGACCAGGCCGGATGAGGGCCCTGGGGGCGGACCGGTGGTGGGCGGGTGGAGCCGGGCCAGGGCCCCGGAGGCCGACCGGTGGTGGGTGGGCCGGGCCTGACGGAGGCACCGGGGGCCGACCAGTGTTGGACAGGCCCTGCCAGACCAGGGCACCGGGGCCCAATCAGTGGTGGGCAGGCCGACCCCGGCGACGGCCCCGGGGGCCGACCGGTGGAGGGGTCGCTGGACTGGTCAAGGGCCCCAAGGGCCAACCGGTAGTGGGCGGGCCGGGCCCGACGAGAGCCACAGAGGCTGACCGGTGGTGGGCAGGCCGAACCTGACAAGGGCCCCGGGGGCCGACCGGTTGTGGGCAGGCCGTGCGGGGCAAGGGCCCCGGGGGCCAACTGGTGGTGGACGGGCGGAACCAGGCGAGGGCCCAAAGGGTCGACCGGTGGTAGGCGGGCCAGGCTGCGCTAGGGCCCCGGGGGCCGACCGGTGGTGGGTGGGTGGAGTTGGACAAGGGTCTCGTGGGCCGACCGGTGGTGCGCAGGCCGGGCCAGACGAGGGCCCCGGGGACCGACCGGTGGTGGGCGGACTGGGCCGGAGGAGGCCCCAAGAGCCGACCAGTGGTGGGTGAGCGGAGCCAAGGAAGGGCCCTGGGGGCCGACCGGTGGTGGGCGTGCCGGGCCTGGCAAGGGCCCCAGGGGCCGACCGGTGATGGGCGAACCGAGACTAATGAGGGCACCGGGGGCCAACCGGTGGTGGGTGGGCCGGACCTGATGAGGGCCCCGGGAAATGACCCCTGGTGTGCGGGCCAGGACGGGCGAGGGCCCTGGGAGCCAACCGTTGGTGGGCAGGCCAAGCCTGACGGGGGCCCCGGGGGCCGATTGGTGGTGGGCGGGCCTGGACTGACGAGGGCCCTGGGGGCTGACCGGTGGTGGGCGGGCGGAGCCGGACGAGGGCCCCGGGGGAAGACCGGTGGTGGGCGGACAGAGCCGGGCGAGGGCCCCAAGGGCTGATCTGTGGTGGGTGGGCGGAGTCGGGCGAGGGCCCCGAGGGCCGATCGGTGGTGGGCGGTCCAAGCCGGTGAGGGTCCCAGGGGCCGACCGGTGGTGGGCAGGCCGGACCAGGCAGGGGCACCGGGGGCCGACCGGTGGTGGGCAGGCCGGGCCGGGTGAGGGTTTCGGGGGCCAACCGGTGGTTGTCGGGCTGGGCCGGGCGAGTGCCCCAGGGGTCGACCGGTGGTGGGCGGGCCGGGCCTGACGAGGGCGCTGGGGGCCGACTGGTGGTGGGCGGGCTGGGCCAGACAGGGGCCCCAGGGGTCGACAGGTGGTGAGCGGGCGGAGCCGGGCCAGGGCCCTGAGGGCTGACCGGTGGTGGGCGGGCCGGGCCGGATGAGGCCCCAAGAGCCGACCGGTGGTGGGTGAGCAGAGCCAAGCGAGGTCCCTGGGGGACGGAGGCGGGCGAGGGCCCCGGGAGCCGACAATGGTGGACCAGCCGGGCCGGATGAGGGCCCTGGGGGCCGACCGGTCATGGGTGGGTGGAGTTTGGCGAGGGCCCTGAGGACCGACCGGTGGTGGGCGGACCAGGCCTGACGAGGGCCCCGGGGGCCAACTAGTGGTTGGCGGTTGGACCGGGTGAGGGCCCTGGGGCCGACCAATTGTGGGCGGGCCAGGACAGGCAAGGGCCTCAGAGCCCGACCAGTGGTGGGTGAGCGGAGCCAAGCGAGGGCTCCGGGGGGTGACCGGTGATGGGCGAGCCGAGACTGACGAGGGCCCTGGGGACCGACTGGTGCTGGGCGGGCCGGGCCGGGCAAGGGCCCCGGGACCCTACCGGTGGTGGGTATACCGGGCCTGACGAGGGCCCCGGGGGCCGACTGGTGATGGGCGAGCCGAGTCTGCTGAGGGCTCTGGGGGCCGACTGGTGGTTGGCGGGCCAGGCCGGATGAGGGCCCCGGGAACCGACCAGTGGTGGTTGGGCCAGGACGGGCAAGGGCCCTGTGAGCTGACCGGTGGTGGCGGGCCAGGCCCGACGAGGGCCCCAAGGGCCAACTGGTGGTGGGCGGGCCGGGCCGGGCCGGGAAAGGGCCTTGAAGGCCGACTAATGGTGGGCAGGCAGGGCCTGACGGGGGCCCCAGGGGCCGACCAATTGTGCGCAGACCGGGCAGGCGAGGACCCCGGCGGCCGACTGGTGGTGGACATGGGGGCCGTACAAGGGCCCTGGGAGCCAACCGGTGGTGGGCGGGTGGAGCCGGGCGAAGATCCCGGCGGCCGACCGGTATTGGGCAGGCCAGGCCTGACGAGGGACCTAGGGGCTGACCGGTTTTGGGCAAGCCGGACCAGGCAAGGGCCCTGGGGGCCAACCGGTGGTGGGCTGGCCGATCCGGGCAAGGGCTCTGGGAGCCGACCGGTTGTGGGCCGGCGGAGCCGGGCGAGGGTCCTGGGGACTGACCGGTTGTGGGCGGGCTGGGCCAGGCAGGGGCACCGGTCGTCGACCGGTGGTGGGCGGTTCGGGCCAGGCGAGTTCACTGGGGGCCGACCGCTGGTGAGCGGGCTGGGCCGGACAAGGGCCGCGGGGGCCGACCGGGGGTGAGTGGGCGGAGCCGGGCGAGGGCCCTGGCGGCAGACCAGTGGTGGGCGGGCCAGGCCTGACGAGGGCCCCCTGGGCCCGACAGGTTGTGGGCGGGCTGGGCTGGGTGAGGGCCCCAGGGGCCAACCAGTGGTGGGCAGGCCGGGCCGGACTAGGGCCCCGGGGGCTGACTGGTGGTGGGCTGCCCAGACCGGGCGAGGGCTCTGGGGGCTGACCAGTGGTGGGAGGGAAGAGCCAGAAGAGGTCCCCTGGGGCCGACCGGTGGTGGGTGCGCCGGGCCTGACGAGGACCCCGGGGGCCGATGGGCAGTGGTCAGTCCGGGCTGGGCGAGGGCCCCGGGGGCCGACTGGTTGTGGACGGGCCGGACCTGACAAGGGCCCTGGGGGCCGAACCATGGTTTGCAGGCCGGGCCGGGCGAGGGCCTTGGGGGCCGACCGGTGGTGGCCGGGCTGGGCCGGGCTGGGCCAGGCGAGGGCCTTGAGGACCGACCTGTGGTGGGCGGCCAGGGCCGTATGAGGGTCCCAGGGGCTGACCGGTTGCTGGCGGGCCGGGCCGCCCGAGGGCCCTGGGGGCCTACCGGTGTTGGGCAGGCCAGGCCAGACGAGGACCCCGGGGACCTACCGGTGGTGGGCGAGCGGAGCCGGGCATGGGCCCCGGGGACCGAACAGTAGTGGGCGGGCTGGGCCTGACGAGGGCCCCTGTGACCGACCGGTGGTGGGCGGGGGGGGCTGTATCAGGGCCCCGGGGGCTGACGGGTTGTTGGCAGGCCGGGCCGAACGAGGGCCCCAGGGGCCGACCGGTCTTGGCTGGGCCGGGCCTGACGAGGGCTCTGGGGGTCGACCATTGGTGGGCGGGCAGAGCCAGGCGAGGGCCCCGGAGGCCAACTGGTGGTAGGCGGACCGGGCGGGGTGAGGGTCCAAAAGACCGACCGGTGGTGGGCGGGCCGGCTTGGGCAAGGGCCTTGGAGACCGACTGGTGGTGCGCTGTCCGGGCTGGGCGAGGGTTCTGGGAGCCGACCGGTGGTGGGCAGGCGGAGCCGGGCGAGGGTCCCGGGAGCCGACTGGTGATGGGCGGGCCTGGCCTGAGGAGGGTCCCGGGGGCCGACTGGGGTTAGCGGGCTGGGCCGGGCGAGGGCCTTGAACGCTGACCATTGGTGGGCGGGCTGGGCCTGACGGGGACCCCGGGGGCCTACCGGTGGTGGGCTGGGGGGGCCGTACAATGGCCCCGTGAGCCGACCGGTGGTGGGCGGGTGGAGCCGGGCGAGGGCCTAGGCGGCCGACCAGTTGTGGGCAGGCCGGGCCTGACGAGGACCCTGGAGTCTGACTGGTATCGGGCGGGCGGAGCCAGGCGAGGGCCCTGGGGGCCAACTGGTGGTGGGCAGGCCGAGCCGGGTGAGGGCCCTGGGAGCCAACCGGTGGTGGGCGGGCCAGGTCGGGCGAGGGCCCCAGAGGCTGACTGGTATTGGGCAGACGGAGCTGGGCGAGGGCTCTGGAGTCCAACCGGTGTTGGGTGGGCCGGGCCGGTCGAGGGCTCCAGGGGCCGGCCGGTGGTGGGTGTGCCGGGCTGGACGAGGGCTCCAAGGGCCGACCTGAGGTAGGCGGGTGGAGCCGCGCGAGGGCTCCAAGGGCTGACGTGAGGTAGGCGGGTGGAGCCGCGCGAGGACTCCGAGGGCCGACCAATGGTAGGCAGGCCGGGCCGTGCGAGGGCCCCAGGGGCCGACTGGTGGTGGGCAGCCTGGGCTGGGTGAGGGCCCTTGGGGCAGACCGGTGCTGGGTGGGTGGAGCTGGGCGAGGGCCCCGGGGGCCAACTGGTAGTGATGGGCAGACTGGGCTGGACGAGGACCCTGGGGACCAATTGGTTGTGGGCGGGCCGGGCCAGGCGAGGGTCCCGGGGGCTGACTGGTGGTGGGCGGGGGAGGCCGTACAAGGGCCCCGGTAGCCAACCAATGGTGGGCGGGCGGAGCTGGGCGAGGGCCCCGGGGACCGAACAGTAGTGGGCGGGCTGGACCTGACGAGGGCCCCTGTGACCAACCGGTGGTGGGCGGGGGGGGCCGTATGAGGGCCCGGGGGGCTGACGGGTTGTTGGCGGGCCGGGCCGAACGAGGGCCCCAGGGGCCTACCGGTCATGGCCGGGCCGGGCCTGACGAGGGTTCTGGGGGTCGACCGGTCATGGCCGGGCCGGGCCTGATGAGGGCTCTGGGGGTCGACCATTGGTGGGCGGGCTGAGCCAGGCGAGGGCCCCGGGAGCCAACTGGTGGTAGGCGAGCCGGGCCAGGCGAGTGCCCCGAGGGCCGAGCGGTGGTGGGTGGGTCAGGCCGGGCGAGGACCCCGGGAGCCGACTGGTGGTGGGCGAACCGGGCCGGGCAAGGGCTCCGGCGGCTGACCGGTGGTTGGCATGCCGGCCGGGCGTAGGCCGTGGGGGCTGAATGGTGGTGGGCGTGTAGGGCCGGACGAGGGTCCCGTGGGCCACCCGGTGGTGGGCTGGCCGGACCGGGCGAGGGCCCTGGGGTCCGACTGGTGGTGGGAGGGCGGAGGCAGGCAAGGGCCTCCGGGGCCGATGGGTTGTTGGTGGGCCGGGCGTGACAAGGGCATTGGGGGTTGATGGGTGGTTGGTGGGCCGGGCCTGATGAGGGCCCCGGTAGCCGACGGGTGGTGGGCTGGCCGGGCCGGGCGAGGGCCCCAGGGGCTTACCGGTGGTAAGCGGGCTGGGTCGGACAAGGTCCTTGGGGGCCGACTGGTGGTGGGCGGGATGAGCCAGGCGAGGGCCCCGGGGGCCGACCGCTGGTGGGAGGGCAGGGCTGGACGAGGGCCCCGGGGGCCGACCGCTTGTGGGTAGGCCAGACCGGACTAGGGCCCTAAGGACCAACCGGTGGTGGACTGCCCAAACTGGGCGAGGGCCCCGGGGGCCAACAGGTGGTGGGAGGGCGGAGCCGGGCGAAGGCTCCGGGATCTGACCGGTGGTGGGTGGGCCGGGTCTGACAAGGGCCCCGAGGGCCGATGGGTGGTTGGCAGTCCGGGCTGGGCGAGGGCCAGGGGGGCCGACCAGTGGTGGGCGGGCCGAGCCTGATGAGGGCTCTGGGGGCCGACCGGTGGTTGTAGGGCAGGGCCAGGCGAGGGCCCTGGGGGCCGACCGGTGGAGGGCTGGCCGGGTTTGATGAGGGCCCCGGGGACCGACCTGTGGTTTTAGGGCAGGGCCAGGTGAGGGCCACGGGGGTCGATGGGTTGTGGGCGGACCGGGCGGGATGAGGGCTTTGGGAGCCGACCGGTGGTGGTATGTCGGGGCCGGGCAAGGGCCTCGGCGGCCGACCGGTGGTGGCCGGGCTGGGCCTGACTAGGGTCCCAGGGCCCGACCGGTGGTCATAGGATGGGGCCGGGCGAGGGCCCCGGGGGCCGACCGGTGTTGAGTGGGCCGGGCCAGGCGAGGGCCTTGGGGGCCGACCGGTGGTGGGCGGGCGGGGCTGGGCGAGGGCCCCGGGGGCCGACCGGTGGTGGGCGGACTGGGCCTTACGAGGGTCCCAGGGGCTGACCGGTGGTCGTAGAACGGGGCCGGGCAAGGGCCTTGGGGGCCGATTGGTGGTGGGTGGGCCGGGCCCGATGAGGGCCCCGGGGGACGACCGGTGCTGGGCTGGCCGGGCTGGACGAGGGCCCCGGGGGCCGACCGCTGGTGGTAGGGCGGGGCCGGGCGTGGGCCCCGGGGGCCGACCGGTGAGGGGTGGGCCAGGCTGGATGAGGGAACCGGGGGCTGACCGGTGGTGGGCCATCCGGACCTGACGAGGGCCCCGGGGGCCGACCGGTTGTGAGCGGGCTGGGCCAGGCGAGGACCCGTTTGTGGCTCAGGGAGGAGACAGGTGGCTTCTTTTTTTCTTTCCTAGTTTCCAGATTTTCCCATTCAAAAGGAAAGATTTCTTGGCTTTCCTTGCTCAAGGGAATGCAGAAAAAGGCATCTTGTAAGTCTAATACTGTAAACTATTCTAGCTTATTATTTAAGGTAGTTCTCTCAAGTCCTGCATTAATCAATAATCTTTCCCATTTGCTTTCTTTATGGGTACTAGGATTCACATTCCACAAGCAAACCATGCTTAGCAAATTTGTCTATTATTGGAACCAATCCAACTTGGCTTTCTAATTTTACTGTTTTTACCTTACTGGTATAGCTCCTGGCTTAAGTGTAGTTCTTACAGGTTCCGCCCTTTTTGATTTTCCTGGGATTCCACTGGCCCACACGATAGGAACAACTGCATCTTCAACTTCAGTCGGGATGTTGCTGCTAACAGGAGTTATTTCCTGAACAAGAAGAGCTGCTGCTTCAACATATTTAGTTTCAGGAATTACAATTTCAATATCCCCACTTTTAAATTTAATTTCTGCCTCATTTTCCAATAAATCTCTTCCTAGCAGAGGTTTAGGGGTTTTGGCAAATAGAGAAACTGATGAATTACCTGTTGTTTCCCCAATTTAACCCCTGTCCCACCAATAACCTTCACAGTGTCATTCCTTAATTCTCCTTATATTAAGAACTACGTTTGACTAATACATGGGCAAACCAGACAATGGGGATTCGAACATGCACCTTTTAACCAGATGGTTCTTACAGTTGTATTTAATAGAAAATAGCCAATTATACCATCACTAGTGATTTCTTAATCCAAATATCACACTCCTTCTTACAGTTATATTACCACTTTTATAACCCAATTATATTATATTATAGAGCTTCATTTCTATGATAGTTAGGTATACCTTTTATACTCTCAGGAACACCTTAATAAAATTACAGGGCTCTTGCTTTGAACTCACCAGATCCAGGTACTGAGAGGATCTGCCCAGGTAATACTTTTGGTATGCACTGGAGTCCTCAGGGTCCCGGAACCCCTGGAGCATCAACAGCATTGTCCCTCCAAGGGGTCCTCAATTTGTTTCCAATGTTTCAAGATACAACCCATAGGTGATTTCTTAAAGATTCCTTCTTTAGAACCTGAAGTACCCATAATAAAAAATAAACCAAACACCAGTTTCCAAAACCAAATAAACCTATAAGTCTGGACTCCCAAATTAATATCCAAAATACCAAATAACCCACCCAACGTGTATGGGTAGGAAATCAGAAGAATGCCTTATTTATAAAATACAGCGGGATCTTACCTGTGTCCCAGACTGGTCTGGGGAGTTGAGGTCTTTCCTGAGAAAATCTCGGTGCCAGCGTGAAGATCCAGAGATCCCTCGGATGGTGCCAGTGTGAAGATCCAGAGATCCCTCGGATCCACAGGAGAGCAGGCACAATGCCCCATCTGGGGTGCCAATTCTGTTGCCTAAAATCAGCTCTTAAAAGAAACCTCTAAGACTCAATTTGTGAGTTTTAGATGCCAGGCATTCTTTTCTTACGACGCGCTGCATGATCACAGCACGCCGAGTGGCCTCAGAATCAATTCGTCAAAGTGCACACAGAGGTATCTTCACTACAACTTATATGTTTGCATTACATGATTATTCATTTTTTGTTCCCTGCATTCTTGTTACATATTCATGACATTTCCTTATAAGGTCTCTGAGGGGCTTCATCAGGGGTCTCTGGTGGTCATCTATGTCTGGAGCCCCCAAAGTTCTAAGTGACTGCCTTATGAACTTTAAGACAATACATCTGGTTATAGAGTAACTTGGTGTTGCTTGGTTGGCTGCATCAGTTCCCTTCTTCATTGTTTCTTTACTTTGCTTGGTTAGTCCCTTTAAATCACTTGGCTCAGCTATAAGTAGTTTCTATGGTACATTCTGCTGCAAAAACTATTAGTTCTTGTTACATCTCAAAACCCAGATATCAACCAACAAGACTTTCACTTCTATTGTAAACTTAAGTTTGAATGTACCATTCTGTATATATCTGACATTTTGGTCAAAGATATAAAAATATGTTCAGGCTTTATTGGAGCAGAGCAACATGTGACAGAAATCCAAATATATATGAGTTAACCCTGTGCACACTTGTTGGAGGCTTTTATTGTTTGTATTTTCCTCCTAGACAATCAGGAGAGAGTTGATGTTGGAGATGAAGTAGGGGGGTTTCATGATTCTGAAATCACTCCCCTACAGGGGTGGTGTAGCAGGGAGATTGCCGAAACTGAAACCAGTACACTGTTGAAAGCTCAACAAAACAATATTTATTACAAAGAAGTAGTCAACAAAATGAGAAGCTGAGAGACAGGAAAAAGAAGGGAAACAAGCCCCCAAGACAACCCCCCACTCACTCAGACGTTATTTATGAGGTTGTCTTACCGACCCCAGAATGCTTAGAATTCCCCATAGCAGAAGCTGCATCCCTGGAGCATCGGCAGGCTCACAAAATGGCAGGCGTCCCTGCAGAGGTAATGTTGTCCTCCATGTGAAGCTTGAATCCACTCCCAGCAAGAACTATCTGCTTTTTCTACAATTAACCTATGACATCTACATGGGCAGGTGTGGCCAGCACCGCCCAGCTAGAGGCCTTTGGTCCCTCCCCCCATTATGTAAGTGGTGCCCCTTCTGCGCATCTGTGTGTACATTGGAATTTCCCTGCGCCTGCGTGCTACACCTTGGGGGTCTTTTCTAAATGAGTCTGGGGGCTTACTTCATCATCCTCCTCTTCACTTTCTCCTTCAAATGTCCTTGGAGGGCCGTTGGCCAATAGCCAGTCACCAATTAATTTCACTTTATACAAGATACTTCCTTCAAGGACGAAGTTCTTGTTTATCAGTGCTTGTTTTTACATAACTTGGCAGGAAAAGAACAGACTCTCGCAGGTGGCTGGGTGTATCAGTGAATTTATGCTGATACTTTTGGTCTGTGTTTGGCCCAGACAACTGTAAAAGTTTTGTTCTTTCCCTGCCAAGTTATAAAAAAACAAGTACTGATAAACGGGTACCTCGTCCTCGGAGAGAGAGCTTCTTGTATAAACTGTTTTAATTGGTGTTCTGTGATTGGCTAATCGTCCTCCAAGGTCGCTTGAGGGAGAGACTGAAGACTATAGTGATGAAGGACATCCCCAGACTCATTTGGAAAAGACCCCCCTGAGTGCAGTACACAGGCGCAGGGAAAGCCACACGTGCGCAGAAAAGATGCACTTACATAACAAAGGGGGTGGGATGGAGGGCCTCTGGCTGGGCGGTGATGACCACTCCTGCCTAGGCTGAGGTCACTCAGTTAATTGTATAAAAGCAGATAGTGCTTTCTTGGAGGGGAGCTAGCTTCACCTCAAGGACAACGTTGCCTTTGGCGGGGACACCTGCTGGTTTGTGAACTTACTGACTCCAAGGATGCAGCTTCTGCTATGGGTAATTATAGGCATGTTAGGTCGGTAAGATAACTTTATGGGCAACAGCTGGGTAACTGGGGAGGTCATGCTGAAGGCTTATTTCTCTCCTCCTTCCTCCCTTTTGGGTTTGTTCATTTTGTTGACCACCTCTTGGTAATAAATATCAGTTTTGTTGAGCTTGCAATGGTGTCATGGTTTCAAGATTTCAGTATGTTTCGAACCCTCCCTAATACACTGGGCCAAACACAGACCAAAGTTAACAGTGTCTAATTAAGCATGAATACAAGTGGCTTCTGTGAGAAGCTGCCAGAAGCTTCCCCCATGTTCAGTAGAGCAAATGCCAGCCGACTCCAGGACGGACGCACCGCTGGCCAAGACTGAGTCAATCAGTCAATATTAATGCCTCTGTGATAACATATTTAAGAAGGAAAAAAATTTTTTGAGTAGATGAAAATTGCAGGCAGAGAAGAGCGGAGTGAGAACATGTGAACAACTCTGCAGACACCAAGGTGAGTGGAGGAGGGGGAGGAGGTGCTCCAGGCGCCAGAGCTGAGGTTCCCCTGCAGCCCATGGTGAAGACCATGGTGAAACAGGCTGTGCCCCTGCAGTCCATGGAGGACCATGTGGGTGCAGAGATCCACCTGCAGTCCATGGAGGAGACCCACGCCGAGCAGGTGGATGCCTGAAGGAGGCTGTGACCCTGTGGGAGGCCCGTGCTGGAGCGGGCTCCCAGCAGGGACCTGCTGACCTATGGAGAGAAGAGCCCACTCTGGAGCAGGTTTTTCTGGTAGGACTTGTGGCCCTGTGGGGGACCCACGCTGGAGCAGCCTGTGCCCGTGGAAAAATAACCCATGTTGCAGCAGTTTGTGATGAACCGTTGCCCGTGGGATGAAGAGACACTGGATAAGTTTGTGAAGGACTGTTGCAGGATTCAAATTGTGAACAATTTCCATTGCATTTCTGTAGGCCTTGCTTGACATGACTAGAAACTGTAAGCTGTAATGTTTATGCTTATAGACTGTGTGAAAATATGCAATGTTTATACTTGTTAGCTGTGTGTCTAGTTATAAGGTTTGAGAACATAGTATGTTTAGAGCAAGAAAGCCTTGAGAAAGTATAGATAAGGGTGCACCTGCAGATTTCAGAAAGTTCCTAATTATGAAGGCCTCTACATGCCAAGTATGACTTCAGATCGCATGGACAGAACATCAGGTCCAATGAACTGGAGACATGAGGCGCGTGTACAGACTGAGCTATCCAATCACCTTGTTGTAAGCATGTGCCCAAAACAAACTAAACTGTATAAAAGTTGACTTAATTAAATAATAAATTGAACATATGGCTGACCACATTGGCCTGTATGCCTTATGTTTATGCCCCTCCATCAATACCTGGTGCCCGACGGAACAGGGACTCCTACTTCGTCGAGTTCTATGGGACGTAAGGCGAACGGAAGGAGGCGAGGGAAGCGGTCGTTAG